GACTGGTCTCTAACCAACAGGACAGTGCAGCTAAGTCAGGTCATCAGCAAGGTTTGGTATTCAGACCCCCTGCCTGTCTCGTTGGCTTCTCCCATTTGCCCTCCTCGAAGGGGAGCCTGTGCTGACGTCTGGTCCTACAGAGTGATCCATGTGGCAAGGAGCCCCCGGCCGGCCTGGCCAACAGACCCAGGGCATCCGAGGCCCGAATGAGTCATTGGTGTGAGACCCGGAGGCAGAGGCCCCAGGCTGAGCTGACCTGGGTGCAGGTGCACGGAGAAGACTGACTTCACCAGCGCCTGCAGTGTGTGTGTTTGTGGGGGAGGGGCCTGGGATGCTGCCACATAGCAGTGGTGGGGGTGGGAGGGGCAGGTCCAAAGCGGCATCTGTCGCCGGGGAGACAAGAAAAGAGGATGTGGACCACCCTCCCACCTCTGAGCAGCTCATCTTTCTGACAGATGCTGGGTACCGCTGCCCAGGGAGAAGCAGGGCGCACAGCTTGACCCTAGGGCTCTTCCCTGACTCTATGTGCTCTGTCGGGCAGCGCCACTGCTGCCCCCAGGTGGTCAGTGCCAGCACTGCAGCCCAAGGCAAGAAACCCTCAAAACAAAACACACACCTTTGTTTAGCTGTCGTCAAGGAAGCTCCTCTCCCAGGCCCCAGGGAGGAAAAGGAGCAGGATCCACAGGTTCCACGAGTACTGACGGGGACCCCAGAAACCTCCGTTGCTCCCCTCCTTCCCCCTGCCGGCCCCAGGATGTCATTATCCCAGGAAAGACAATGACGGGGTCCCACTTCCAAATGAGGACCCCAAGGCACCAACAAAGATAAGTGGACCAGGATTCTGCCACGGCTACACGACTAGCTGCTCTCTCTCTGCTCAGGGAGGAGAAAGCACTTTCTAAGGACCTCCGGGGGCTGTAGGTCACTGATGGAATGCACACTGTACAAGCCCATGGACTTCTGGGGTCACAAGGCCAATCACCCTCGCTTGGAGGTGGAAACTGAGGCCTTCTCTCCTGTGGCCCCCTCCACACCAGACAAAACACGCTTAATCTCGTTCTGGGCGCCCGGAGAGGTGCAGAAGGCCACGTCCTCTCCGGGCTGCCATGACTGCCCCTGCCAGGCAGACCCTGGGAATCTTGGGCACCTTCGGCCCAGGAGCTGGGCACATCCCCCGCTCCCCTGTAAGGGGTGAGGCATGTTGCTAGGAGACTGGACGCCCCTGCCCCAGGACAGCGCTGGGTCTAACCTCTTCCTTTTTTCCCCTTGTCACCTCCCCCGTGTCACGCCCTCCTCTGAAGCCCGTGTGGGTGAACAGCCGCGTTCACACACGCCTGTGTCTCTGTGGAGGTGGCCAGAGGAGAAGAGAAGAGAGGGTCTCACAGAGTGGGTGGGCAGGGGTCCCCCAGGATCTCAGCGACCCCCTCTTCCAAAACAAAACCCACGGGAGAGTGGAGCTTGGGCCCAGGAGCCTTCCTTGTGCGCCGGATCCTGCCCACCTGGCGTGCCCCCC